ACCTGCGGGATTTCTGCCCCCTGCTCTTCTGTGGTGACTCCTGACATGTGATGCGTCGCCACGGTCTCCCGGGAACTGGGCGAGAACATCTGGACACGTGGACCTTTTCCAGTCAGAATTGCTCAGGGCTTTTCAGACTTCCATTTTGGAAGGAGGGATGGTTCTTCCCGTTGAGACTGTGGTCTAGTGGTTGGACCTTGTGACTGGGAGTCACAGCCAGAGAGCTCAGATGCTTTTCCAAGCTTTTTCTCCTCCAGCTTGAGTCTGCCAGTGACGCTTCATCCATACCATTGCTTTTGGGCCACTGGACGTGCTTTTCTATGTGGTGGCGTGTGACTGTCTGCCTTTAAGACCCAGTGAAGGAATGTGTTCTGTCTAACATGATTCAGGTATCTGCACACTCAGCCCCTAAGCTAGGGATGGCAAACTGCAGCCCGCAGGAGAAAGCTGTCCTGCCTGCCACCTTTTGTACAGCCTGTGAGCTGAGAACAGTTTTCATTATTTTTAAATGGTCGAAAAAAATCAAAAGGAGAATAATATTTCCTGACCCAGGAAAATCACAGTACGTTCACATGTCGGCATCTGTAAACAAAGCTTTGTTGGAACATAGCCATGACATAACACATACATGTATTATTGCCTGTAGTGGCTTTTGTAGCTACAGCCGAGTGTAGCTACCAACTTTAAGGTGTTTATCATCAGGCACTTTATAGGAGAGGGCTTCCCAGATGGTACAGTGGTAAAGAATCCGCCTGCTGATGCCAGAGACGCAAGAGACCCAGGTTCGATCCCTGGGTCAGGAAGATCCCCTGGAGAAGGAAATGGCAACCCACTCTAGTATTCTTGCCTGGAAAATTCCATGGACAGAAGAGCCTGGAGGGCTACAGTCCAGGAGGTCACAAAGAGTTGGACATGACTGAGCACGTGCGTGCACACACACACACACACACACTCCTTTGCAGAAATTTGCCAACCTTGCCTTGAACAAATAAGGGGTGGTCTCCATGTGCCCATCCATTTCCCCTTCAGTGGAAGGGAGTGGTGAAAGCAGCCTCTCCTCGCCATCTTTGTCATGGAATTGGGACTCATGGGGAACGGGGATGCCTTTTTGGGAGCAGATCCTATCAGGCCCACTTGAGTACCTACTCATCACCCGGAACATAGATACTGGAGGTAGCTTTTGATTTCGAAGACCTTCCCCATTTGCCTTTGCTTTTCCTTTTTTTATTGGGGAGGGTGGAGGAGGAGAAATTAGAGCTGTGTACCTTTTTCTTTTTTTTGCTGACAATTCAACAAGCCTTTAAACCACCTTGATTCCTTTCAGGCCATTGGTGGTGTGTATATATATTCAAGACTTTGCCCACAAGTCCAAAGCTTAACTTAAGCTCCCTGAGATATGTCATAAAATGTGATTAGGGTGTGGGGGGACGGGCGGGAAACTCTAATGGGCCATGACCAGAACATTATTATTAAACAAAGGATGAAATGCTTAAGCCAAGATGGCCCTATTTACTTATTTATTTATTTTTACAAAATGAAAGTCGAGTAGACTCCATTTCAACAGTTTTCAATGCAGGAATTCCCACAGCCCCGTTTGATTGCAGTTTGTTGAAAAGTTTAATGTTTTTGTAGGCAATTCATAATTTCCACGTTGAGCAGCCCAAAAGGAAGGGAGCCTGGAGCCCAGTGTTGTTTTTATAGTGGGATGGTGGGAACTTTTTTTTTCCCTTCCCCAAAAGGATATAAAACCGAAGTTGAACTGTTGGGAAAACGTGGCGTGGTGATCCAGCCCTTCCGTCAGTCTGAGATGAGTCCCCCTTCAGGCCTTCCTTTAGGACCCAACAGAATAGAATTTCCTGCTGCTTCATGTCTCCAGGAAGGAAAAGATTTTCCTCGAGGCTATAATAGTACCTAATTTCCTTTTTCTTCTCTTTATTTATTTATTTTCCCTATTAATAAGGACCAATTGTAGAAGATGAAGGAACCTGGGAAACCCATCACTTTTGCAGGAGGTTAATAACTTCCTTTAAAAACTCCTGGCTTAATACTTGTTTCCCCAAAAGGAACCTCGTCAGCCTGAGTGCCAGTCAAGGCCCAGGGGATGGGCACAGCCTTGTGGGGACCCAGCCGTTCTGTGGGATCGAGTTACAGCGGGATGGAGAGGTTGGGGCTGTCACTGCATAGTGGCTACGAGTCGGCGGGACCTGGGCTGTCTTCCCCACCATCTGGATCTGGTTAGCTCTCTCTGGGCAGCAGGGCCGAGTCTCATTTCCTCCAACCAGTAATGTTATATAGGCAGTGATCCTGGGCTGCCCTAACATAATTGAAAATTATGTGTATTGTAGGCTCGGAGCGCTGAAATGTAGGCTCATAAAAATATGTGGTGCAGGTAGCCTGCGGAGATTGGACGTGGCTCACAATGAAGCTTTTATGTAAAGTAAGAATTATAAGTCTCCGTATTAATATTGCATTATGGGTATGATCATTCTTGGGTGGGGTCCTTAGGGCTGGCCTGTCACCTCCAACAAAGCCTACATTTCCTCAATCTGGGGAGCTGGTATTTGGATACAATCAGATCAGTTTTTGCAGATGGCCAGAAACTCATCTGTGAATCCAGCCCTCTCGACTGAGGGCAGAGGGAGGTGGAGGTGTGTGGCGACTTGGCTTGGCATTTTTCTTCACAGGCTTTTTATGTGATGAAGAGGTGAGTGTTGGCGGATGTCCATTTCGGTTGGCCTCAAGGAAATGACTCTATTGAGTGGTTTTGACCAATGAGGCCCATATATTTATGTGGCAAGTGAGAATGGGAAGAAGTAAGGGTGAGACCAGGCAGAAGAGACTCCCATAGCCCGCTGGCTCGGGTTATAGGCCTGAGGGAGACCATGGAAACATTTACTTCAGTGGCTCTTAATTTGGGATGATGTTGCTTCCGGACAAATGTTTGGAAATGGTTTAATTAAAAGGGTCACTGGGTGGGGTGTGCCTGCTGACATTTCCTGTCTGGGGGCCCAGAATCCTAGAAGTTCCTTGGTGCTTGGGGCAGCCCCTCACCACTTCAGTAATAGATGAGAAACCGGAAGGTCTTGTGGTGAGTTACCAGAACTAGTAACCAAATTTCCTCACCACAGGAGGCTTCTAGGTGAAAGGTCTGAAGTGGCAGAAGTCGCTCTAACTCCGTCTAGATCTCGGCCGGGTAAATGACAACTCAGTTTGGCAGGTAGCTCCCGGGTTAGGTCTTCCAGCTTTAGGTATCACCAAATTTGGTTTTAACTTGCTGGAACAGTCATGTATTTGAGGAACCCATGGAAAAGCTTGTGGGTAGTTTTGGCTCTTAGCATCCCATGTGGGAGTGGAGCAAACCCTCTTTCTTTCTGGACTTCCCTTTGCTGTCCCTTTTTCTTCCTGTCTGAGTCCTTCTGACTTGACAAGACCTCCTCTGTTCAGTCTTCCTCACCTCAGTCTCTTTCCTCAGAAATGCACCTTCCCTCCTGGCATTCCCTGGCCACCTTCCCCACGTCCCTGTCAGAGTCTCGCCACGTTCTGTCCTGATTTGCCTGTGGTGAGTTGGCCCCCTCACGTGTGCCTCGGTTCTCTGAGGAAACACATGATGCTTCGCAGGAAGTCTGCATGAGACAAGCTTTAATCTGCATTCCTTAAGTAAAAGTTTCTATAGAATTAGTAATAAAACCAGCCTCTGGAATGATCAAGATGGCGCCTTCACCAGTTGACCTTTGGAGGTACAAAGGGTAGTGTTGACGTCCTTGTTAAAAATCTTAGCATCGTGTCTTTAAGTTTTGCTTGTTTGTGAAGTGAAACTGATATAAAGTCACCAACAAAAGTCAGATGCCTGCAAGTTGCTTACGTGTGTGTTAAATATCTCTGTGACTAGACAGGCTGCCTCCCTCCCCCATATACATGATGGGGAGCTGGATCAAGGGATTGTTCTCTGAAAGGTGAGGTGTCACTTTGGACAGAAGCAGTGCTCTTGCTCTAATGTCATATGTTCATTTTGTATCTCAGAGAAGGATAGAGAAGGACCCATTTGGTGTATACCTTTGTTTTTCTCCATGTGGTAAGGCGTGTGTTATTTATGAATTTCTATGACCTTTTGTGAATGTAGAAATTGCATTGCACCCTGTCTGTGTGTCTCTTAATGGAGAAATACTTTTTGTCTTACAAGCTTTGGAATTGGATGAGGAATTCCATGCTCACCTTACTCGAGTAACTTCTAGTAAAGGACAGCTGCACATATATACTCAGCTTTCTTGAAGGTGAAGGATGATGACATTTTAGAAATGAAGGTTGTTGAAAGAGCAGATTTGGAATTGATGGTCTCCTTGGGCACGTCTGTTGGCTTCGCAGGTGACGCTAGTAGTAAAGAACCTGCCTACCAACATAGGAGACATAAGAGACTCGGGTTCGATCCCTGGGTCAGGAAGATCTGTTGGAGTAGGAAATGGCACCCCCACACCAGTATTCTTGCCTGGAAAATTCCATTCCATGGGCAGAAGAGCCCGGAAGGCTACACAGACCATGGGGTTACAAAGAGTTGCAAACAACGAAATGACTGAGTAGGGTATCCATGACTTGAGATTTCATTAGCTTTGTTTCTTTAGAAGAGAGGTCTCTCTTCTCTTCTCCCCTCTCCCCTCTCCCCTCTCCCTTACTGGTGTCCTCCAGATGAGGTAGTATCAGTGATTCTACCTGAGCCCATGTAGTTTGAATACAAAGACAGAACTGACTGCTAATGACATTGATGCTCCACGCATGTACCTGTTGAACATGAACTCCAAGGAAGAACCTGTCAGCGTTGCATGACTTTCTGTTGTCGTTGCCCCTCTGATTTGCTTGCTTTCACGTTTTTTGGTGTCTTTATTTGCACATTTTTAAGTTTTGCATTTTCTGATCTGTGTGTCATGTATCCTAAAGCTCTTGGGGTAGCTGTTTCACATTTCTTTTCTAAATTCATTTTCCATGTTCGTTTTGTTTGCTATCCCCAGTATCTTCAGATGAAATGGCCACTACTTGATGTCCAGGCGGGGACCCTCCAGAGCAGACAAGCCCTCAAGGATGCTCGCTCTCCGTCGCCAGCCCACATCGTTGTAAGTGACCTTGCAGAGATGTTTGCTTCTTTTATGGTGGGGAGGTAAAATGTTCTTTTGTTGATAACAGACCTTGTTTATCAGTTTCTCTTTTGTTAAAAATAGTTTTTTGGGGGCATATTCTTGGATATGGTTTGTATCTAGAAGGCACTTATTATTTTGCTATTGGACCTTAATGATTGGTATCTACCTGGAAATGTTTCCACTACCCTTTTCACCTAGTATTGGGTTAGAATCTAGTTTTGTGGGTTCCAGTTAATAGGGCACAATCACCATGGTGTGGGGAAGATTGGAAATGGTATTAAAGCAACTAAAAAAATGTACCCAAATGTTTGCTGAAAAAGTCCTTTAGGGGAGGTGAGTTGCAGAGTAGAGAATTAGGAAACTCAAAAGGGAAATCCCGAATTTAAGACTTTCCAATCTTATTCCCCTCATCCCCTCCCCTCAACACACTCACCAATTTATCCTAATTATTGGAAAGGAATAATCTAGACTAACATCAGAAAGATTTCATCTGGGCTGGTTGATTGGAAATGCAGAGCACAAATGAACTTGGAAAGGCTTAAATTAAATTTGATGTGTACATCCCTGGCTGTGAAAGTGTGTGGGTTTAACACAGAAAACATTTGTTTGTACTACTAAGAGACTACAACATGAAGTATGTGTCTACATATATTTTTAATGCACTTTCTCAGGATTTTGTAGACTCTGAAAGTGGAGTTTATAAATTAACCTCTTGAGAAGATAACTCGGCCTTATTAGAATATTTTCTTCTATATATTCCTATCATGAGCTGGACTTCATACTTTTGAAATAATTAATGGAAGATATATTTTTATAATGAATTCACGACAGGTAGAATTATGCAAAGCATGAAACAATTCATGTATATTTTATTTAAGTATCACAAAATGTTATCCATTAATATATTTTGCCTCTGTGTTACTTTTAATTTCTAAAAATGGCAAAATAATTTTCTTAAGTAGAAAAATCTTAAGATACATTGTGTCAAATTTCAGGCTAACTGCCTCCTTATTTTGTAGCTTGTTATAATTGAGCATATATTATTTAATGAGTTTTCCCTCTTATATGAATATTAAATATATATATGTATGTATGTATGTATAGCTCACAAAATAATTGATTTCTGTAAAACCACTTCTTTGAGTCATCGTTTGTGAAAAGGTCTTATGAATTCTTATATTATAAATGAGGCACATAGAAAGAAGGTTGACATTTCCCAGAAGCTTCCTCCTTCCTCCAGTCCCTCGATAAAACAGATGCTCATAATCACTCATGCTCTTACAATGCTGAGATTTCAGGGCTTGAAGTAACCTTAGATCAGCTAGGTCCTACCTGCTCTCAGAAAAGGAAACGGGTCCAGAGATGCCTTAAGTGAATTGCCCAACGTCACACGCTGTGTTAGCGGCCAGAGTGGGAACTGGGCCCAGTTCTCAGCTCTCTTTTTGGGGCCCAGTGGACTGTTCCCTCCTAAGGGAGTCAAAAGTAACTCTCTGTGACTTGTTCTGTTTTGCTTTCTCTAAATTGGCTCACTGTCAAAGACAGTGTCATAGGCATAAAGAAGTTGTTGGCTTGGGGTTCTCATGTAGGTTTCTCCCGGAAAAATGAATGCCATGAAAAAAAAAACACCATATTTTAACAATACACAAAGATTGTTTTACAAGTCCTTGAGGGTACAGTGAGGAAGCCAGTGTGTTTCACTCTTCCTGCCTCCCTGAATTTCCCAATGGGAGTCTAGGTTTGAAATTTATTTTTCTGCTTTTGGAAGTGCTGGGCAGATGTCACCCATTTCGTTTTGGGGGTGGGGTGCGAAGTGTAGGAAAGGGACGCTATCTTTAAAGTCTCTTGGAGGTGTGTCTCTCTTTGAGTCTGGAGAGAAGACGCATTTCTTAGAAGTGGTCCAGAGGGGCCGCAGCCCCGTGGTGGGTGTGACCTGGAGGTCCACGTGTTGTCCCCGTGCAGGAGTGGGGTCTGTCCTTTAGGAGAGAGGTCAATGATTGCCCTTCTTCCCTCTGTCCCTCTGACTCCCCAGATCCCATAGGAGCAGTTGCTACAACTTAGGCCCTAGGCACTTTGTTTTCACGTGTATGAGTTAACAGTCCGAGGAGCTGGTAAAACATTTTTGCAGAGCCGATGTGGATTTTGATGAGGGGCGCAGTGAAGGGACTTGGGTTTCTTTTTTCCTTTGCTGTGGCTTAGGAGGCATGTTGACCAAAGCAATCACTGTGGAGCCCACCCCACCCTTCTGAGGGAGACCCTTGTCGATAAAAGCCGCAGCTGGCAGCTGTAATCCGATCTTCTTTTCTCTGTTCCTGGGGGCCTAGGAGCAACACTGCATAGAGGTTATATGGTGGGCTGGTGGTGAAGAGTGGGCTTTGGGAGCTGGAGAGAGGAGAAAAGCCATGAACTTGGGTGAAAAGGAAACCAAATGAAATACTTAATGCTTGTGGCCATGGAATATTATGAGTCAGCCCTGTCATTGTGCATTTCTGCAGTCTTCACCTGACACCAGGACTGAGGAGGAAGGGGTATTGGGGTTGGGGAGGAAGTTAGTAGAAGGAGAATGGAAAGGTAGGGGGAAGGAAGTCTGAAGGTTGTTGACCTCTGGGTCACATATAGTTTTGGGGGATTGAGGAGTCGTGTACCTTGGGAGTATAAACTTATGATCACCTTTTCATTGAACGCAGGGCAGTATGTCAGCCCAAACCAGCTTGACAGGTACAGGGTGTCTGTATTTATACAGGGAACATTCTGGATTGTGGCTGATGTATCATTTGGGTCTTTGTATAGCTCAGCATTGGCCAGGAGACTCTGGTTCTCCTTCAGATTCTCTGATGAATGGCTAACTTTTCTCCAGACACTGGGCTCTTCCTTACTTTCTTGTTTTTCTTTCTCTTGAATAAAAGTTTGTCACATCACAGTGTTTCATCAGACCTGTTTCAAAATAATTGTCTGAGGATTGCTTCCTAATTTCTCTGAAATTTAGATTTATTGTAATTTCGGTGCCAGGCTGTTTCATAATTATTTCTAATGTTTTTATTTTGAAACTAGAGAAGTGTTCGTTCAGCGTTTGTTAGTAATCACTAGGGACTATAGCTATCACAGGTTGGTAGGAAAATAACTTGCCGTAGTACTCGTGGGGGTAGAATTTTCAGATGGGAATTTAAAACGTTTTGTTGGCATATTTTAATCTGATTGGATTTTTTCTCATGTGGTATGTGGGTTACCACATTGTAAAAAAAAAAAAGGATGCATAGAATGAATGTTTTAACAAGTGGAGTTCAGTTGATCGAATAATGTTTATATGAAGAAGCAAGCCCCCAAAAGTTTAGTTTCTGTAACTGATACAGCATCTTGTTTATTATAATCTGATGGCTCCTCCTCTGTGCTCAAAATAGAGTAGAAATGATCCCCCAAGGGTGATGGTTTTTAATTTTTTTTTTGACTGTTCAAAAAATAGGAATTTATACAACAGATCTGTCTCTCTCTCCCTCTCCCTTGGATTTCTCTTCTTCCTTACTCCCACAGAAATTCATGAACTTTCTAAAGTCACAAGAGCCAGGATCCTCTCCTTTCCTCAGCCTCCCCATATTCTAATGTGTAGAAGTCGCTCCTGTTTCTTTCTCTGTGGTGTTTATATTTTTAATTCCCTGCTCTTTTTTAAATGCTTTCTTCCAAAATGAGTGCCAGGCAGCTGGGCTGTGCTAAGTGGTGGTGTTTGAGTCTTGGCCAACCCACCCCCAGGGCCGCTATGAGGAGCCCCTCTCTGGACACCACCCCAGGTGTCTTTGCTATACAAAGACTTTCATTTAACTTCCTTTGTACCCAGCAAAAGAAGATTCTGTACCCAAAGTGGTGGTATTTTGGTAAAGTATGTGTCTTACAAAATGGCAAAAGGCTTCAGAAGTTCCTACCATTGTGTCTTGGGGGTTTCCTTTTGAAGTAGACGTGGAGTTTTTACCTTGGGGTGGATTTCTAGCGGTTCTGGGTCTTATGTGTTTTGTTGTGTAATGAGCACGGAGGTGTGGGATGAGAAAGCTGCCTGAGTCCCGAAGAGCCGAGCCTGCCAGACTGGAGTGTGTACTTCTTTTATTTTGTCGTTGTTACTGCTTAAATGCTGAAAGAGAGTGGGAAGGCTCTTATGAAATATAGCCTGATGGTAGGGCTTCAGACAAGGTGTCTGCTGTTTGCGTTGAGCGTTTTCAGCTCAGAGGGCATGCTGAGTCTTTCGTTGTTGTTTCTGAAGAATTTGGGAATGGGGTGCGGGGGCCCTGAGTTGCAGTTAATAACAACCAATAACTTGAAGAGCATCCTCTTTGTTATTAAGTACACACGGATGTTTTGCTGTGTTACTTGGGTTGCATTCTTCCCTGTGCTGTTGGATGCTTGGTGGCAGTTGCCATGTGGTAGGAGACTCTGTCCTGGACCCTGAGGTCAAGCAGAACTGTTGCAGCCCCTGCCTGGGTGGGAGGCTCTGTGTTGGGTGCTGTGAGGGGTTACCAGGCCTGTGAGGGTATATGATCAAGGAGCTGGGATGTCCACGGAGAAGCTGGTGAGGATTAACAGGCCAGGATTGTCCCCTGAGAAAGTGGCATTTAACATGTGATCTGAAGGATCAGCTGGAGTTGACCAGGTGAAGGTATGAGAGAAGGGATTGGAGGTGAGAAAATATTCCAGGCAGAAGATAAAACATGTATGAAGGTCCTAAAGAAAAGACAGGCTGGCTGTGAGAGAAGCAGGATGCCAGCTATGACGGCTGCTGGTCACGGGGCATGGAGACAGTGACTTGGGTAAGATACAGTGACAATTTGATGTTGCATCCCAACTGCTGTTGTGAAATCATTGAGGGTTTGGGCTTGGGTTACGCTGCCGCCAGTGGGGAAGGTGAAGTGGACAGATTTGGAGGGAGGGACCATCAGTAGAACTGAGTGTTGGATTAGATGTTGTCAGTGAGGGGAGAAAGGAGGGTCCACGGTGGG